GGATCGGAACTATAGGTTTTCTTGGTAGTGGCGTTCGTATAGAAACGCAGGCTTCTGATTGGCTTACACTCGTTGACAAAATTACTAAAAATAGCAAATGTCAACAACAGCATTTTGAAGAATTTGAACTTTATTCATTTTAATATTATATAAGACTATCGAACAAATAAAACTAGAAATGGAAACCAAAAGCAATATAAACAAAGCATCACAGCAAAAAAGTCTATCATTAATGACTCAGTTGAATCTATCGCTTAAATCCAATGTACGAAACTATAACAGTATTCTGAACTTCGTCTTCGAATTGACATCGGACTATAGTATACTATATGTATAGTACATTTTGAGATCGTCGTGGCTTCACGGATTATTCTCATTAGTGAGTAAGTCAGCATGCGAAGGCATACAAAAGATACCCAAATATTTACGAATAATTATATTGTTGATCCTCGCTGGCATGTCATTTAGATAAATATATATCGTACATTAAACATTGTACTATTTACTGTATAAACTGCTGACAATTTCGTCGTCGATACGGCTTCCACTATTGGCACACTCGTGATTTTGAAGAAATTAATAAATACATGCTCATTTATCATTTATTTAGACCACAGTTAGTAAAATTTTAGACGTATTCGGTATTCCAAATCAAAATCTATGTGACCGTATTTTAGTAATAGCTTCAAATATTCAGAACATTGTTCTTTCAGTCGCACATAGTACAAGTATTACTGTACATTTAATGCCAATGGTAGTATTTTATTCGGCTTTATATTTGTATGTGTATTGATATCTATTTAATATTTGAAGAATTCTATATTTTTCCGAGTAATATATTGTGCGGCCCGCTAATGCTTGGTATTATTGTTCATATAACATTATGCATACATTTTAACTTTCAGTATTTCTTCGTTGCACAATGTACACGCCTTGCGTCAATTTGACAGTTGACAGTTTATTTATCGCAGACGACGCTGATTGGTTCGCATTTAGCAGATGCGAAAAGGGGATGATTGAATAAAACGCATGGTTCCGTGCAGGCTCACCTTTCTCCCAGTGAGCCTGTTCGCAGGCTACATTTACATCAGTTTCCCTAGGTTTGTCGACTTGGGCTTAACATAACAGTGCTGCATAACCACTGTGTTGACCGTGTACGATGTGCATAAGCCATAACTTTCTTACCTGACACACTCGTGCCAAATGACCTCATTCGCCGCTCCAAAGTTATTTCGCGTACACCCATCATACAGTCATACTGCTTACTTTGCTATAAAAAATTCAATTGCCCCTCGTGTATGTCATACGAAGGACGTCCTGCGAAGGTTTTTCACGGCATAAACTTGTGCTGGAAATGCAAAGTTATTCATGGCGGAATAGCGCTGCCGCTGCTCAAATTGGTTTAAATTTTTGCAAACCCTATATCCAGCAATTCCAAAGTGCATGATGTCGTCGATTCTAATATTTACAAGATATCTCTTTAAAACGTCAAATTGTATTGCCATTGCCTCTACACAATCTGGGTCACCAAGGCTAGGTGTCTAATCGCGATATTATATCCTCATTCAATGTTCAGTGTACCAACTATTTCATGATTTTCATCACTGATTCCGCTCGTTCGTAGCCGCCAATATATTCCAGGAATATGCCAAGGGGAAGTTTAACGAAGTGTTAATTAATATTGGCGGATATTTAATTAATTAACGCGTTGCTATATAACGGCCAATACTATTCACTTCTCAAATTCATGTAGTGATGCGTTTTCAACCTGTTTTGAAACTTCAACATCGAAAATTACTTCAATATCTATACTTCAATGTTGTATTTCGCTTACTGAATTTGACATGTTCAATATTCAAATTAACATCAATGAGGGATGTATTAAAGTGGCATGCTGAATTTGATATGTTCAATGTCGAAATTCATTTCAATAGGGAAACATGTTGAATTGATCATGAATATCAACATGAATATTGGCGGAAATCTGACGCCATATACTTCAGTGCCTTCCGGTCAGTCACTCTAAATGAAAAGCGCATAATCCGAATGGGATTTTCTATCCGACATTTTGCTTACCATTGGCACAATTTCAAACCGGATGGGTTTTCCATGTAAATGGTAAACAACCTTAGTCAGATACGATTTCATGAACACATTGTTTGCACTGTGCCATAGTTTAGATTTCTTACGCTGTATTTCATAATCATTTGTTTAATATCAGCGATATGCACATACTGTATAGGCCTATATGGATGTACTGTGAGGGTTGGAATACTTTTAAGATCTACACTGTTCGTTTGCTCTTGTGAAGTTGACAGTTGTGTGTGGCCAGCTTTCGAAATTCGGATGTATAAGTCTCCACTGACTGAGGAGAAAATTTATGAAAGCACTGTTGATGCAATATTGGTGCGGTCTACAAACCACTCTGTATAATGGCCAGTGATATACTTCACGAGCAAGCACTCGAAACCCGCCACTTTGAGGCCACAGTCCAGATCTTATAAGTCATTATTTATTAGAATATATCATTAAAATTTTGGCTTTCTAAATATATACTTAGATGACAAGTTGGATTTTGTGCGAATTGTTTCTGAATATTCAAATATTGGAGGTGTAGTATTTCCATACATCTTGCTTGACTGCAGCTTTCTGCAGCATTTAAAAGCAACAAAGCACTACATTATCCGAGTATTGGGAAATTGAAATATTTAAGATATATATTCACTAATTCAGACTGACTTCACTAATATTTCACACTTATTAAAATCATACTTTTCGTGTTCCTGTTTTTAAAGACGGCTTTTTGCGTTCCTGTTTTTAAATATTCCGGCTTCTCCCGTTCCTGTTTTTAAAGATTCCGGCTTTTAGCGTTCCTGTTTTTAACGATTCCGGCTTTTCGCGTTCCTGTTTTTAAAGATTACGGCTTTTCGCGTTCCTATTTTTAACGATTCCGGCTTTTCGCGTTCCTGTTTTTCCCATTCCCCATTCCATTCCCCGTTTCGTTCCCAGATTCCCCATTCCTGCTTTTAAAGATAGCCATTGCTTGGGGGTGATGTAGGAAGTTGATGAGGTATTAGGACCTCAGTATTATATAATCTTGCATTTTGGCAATGGGTAACATGATACTGTACATACAAAGCAGAAATGAAAAATATATTTCCTGTGCTTTAAATTAATTATACTTGGTTTAATCACGGTTTAATCTACAGTATATATTAATTATAGATCGTATACAGTTCTACTTCAAATGTACAAATAGTATACACTAACTTGCATCTGGTTCCCAGAAGGCTTTGGATAAGTAATAAGTATCATTGTGAAATAATGAGGTGATATATTAATAAGTATATATTTATGTAATAGTATCTGGTGTTCCATCAAATTTCCACTGTGTTTTTTGTCAGTATTGTATTCTGGGTTGAAAATTTTTTCTTTTAGGATAGAGAATGTTTCAAGCGGACTAGTAACAGATTCCAATATTCTTCAAGGACATATAAACCAATAACCATCAATCCATTAGACATTAATCATTATAATTAATGAAGAGCATAGCCGTTGATAACCTCCTGATAACCAAAGTAATGAGCAAAATTTCACAGATGACATAGTCATAGAGAATATGTTGCATGTGCAGGTTCAACATTACACACTAAAGGGCCACGTCCAGAATCCAGATTCATAGTGTTGGCACAAATAACGTCGAATCGACGTTAATATTTCATCCACTTACTCACCCCAGATAACGTCGATCGATATTCAGTCGTATTTTGGCCGCTAAACTCACAATTATTGGCCATTATTGTACTTTACTACCATCATTGGCTGGGATTGCAATTTTGATACAATATTTAAATATTTTGTGTTCAATATATAGACCACAGTAAGACTTTTTTTAAATGTTTATTTCATTCAATAAAAAAAGTCTTACTGTGGTCTATATATTGAACACAAAATATACTATTAACATGAGACTTAGGGAAAGTTCGTTCCTAAACATTTTGAAAAATATTTAAATAGTGATTTGGTTTTCGGCAGAGTGGCTGATAAACAATACAACGAAGATATAGCCGTTCTCAAAATTAAACTGTCAATAATATATGTCATATTATTGTTGGTAGAACGTAGCAACCAAGGTAAATTATATAAAACAATCTTTTACTGGTGACCTTGTTTACATGATATGTCTATTGACAGTCTATATACAATATTAGAAAAGTTATGTTTTTAACCATTTGCTAATACTGTGCCTGTGGAGGTTCCGTTGAACTTAGCCTTCTGCATATAGCCTATATATATTATAGGCGTAAAAAATTTAGAACATACAGAATAGCATGTTAATTTAAAATCTTACCAATTTCAAGCTTTCAAGTCTCCAGGGCCTTCGTGCTGAGAGGCGCGTCCTTCTCAGCATGCGCCTCTCAGCACGAATTAAGGCCCTGCATGGGGACGAGGTTGATAATATCCATAAAATATACCGATATATACCTGTGAAATGTTCATTTTGTGACATCGTAAAGACAGACAATTAGCATTTTAAAGCTCCCTCGGGCTACGCCCGACGGAGCAATACATTCCAATGGTCCCGACCATGGAATGTAGGCCTGCGCAGAACGTATGCGCAGAACGAACTTCACAGCATCTTTAAAGTTAAAGTTTTAAAGGTTAACGCTTCTATATTCTATTCAAGCGTATTTACTTACATTGATAAAGTACTATTGTTCTTAACCTTTTTATATTTATTAAACAAATATAAAATTGGAAAACAAGAAATTGTTTTCATACAATTTGCAGCATGAGCTCCACCTTTGAATTTACTATATGAGTAAATTCTTAAACACGTCCGAATTTATCATTATGATAAATTCGCGGCAAATTTTGAATTTATCATAATAATAAATTCGCGACACCTAACACTAACACTAACCCCAACCCTAACCACTAACCCCTAACCCCTAACCCCTAACCACTAACCACTAATCCCTAACCCTAACTTTTTTAACTTTTTAAATTTTTTTAACTTTTTTAAAAATCTAACTTTTTAAACTTTTCTAGCTTTTCAAAACTCTTTTAAAAGTTTTTAAAACTTTTTTAAAGACTATTTTTTTAAAAAACTTGAAAAACTCCCCACCTCCGCGAGACCAGCCTCCCTTTTAGTAATTTACTCATATAGTAAATTCAAAGGTGGAGCTCATGTTGACAATTTGAGTTTTCCCAATTTCCGCGAGTGTTGATATATAGAGGATATTACACGGCGGCGCGAAGATATAACTTTTATCTTCGAGTGGTAAAAACAATATTTTACGAACGAGCGCAGCTAGTGAAGTAAAATATTGTTTTTAATAACACGAGAAGATAAAAGTAATATCTTCATGCCACCGTGTAATGTTCTGTTTATTATATAGTCCCAAGCCAAAAATTGTGAAATTTCACGCTCAAAAGTCTCAAAAGCAAATTGGACGGAAAAAGTCACGTGATCAATATCTTCACTAGTGAAGATATGGAAAATATTTCACTGTGTATTTTGCAGTATCTCACCTCTGCTACTGTATATAATAAAACTGTATATCAATACCGAAAAATGTTTTATATTTTTTTATTATATAGCACAACGAAATATAAAGAAAGAAATTTTCCGTGTTGATATTGTGCTATATATCAACACGGCTCTTAACGTACCAATCAGCGTTCAGAATTTACAAATGCTATATTATAAATCAATTTATAATATCACTACTTCGTATTATAAATCAATATATAATATCACTACTTCGCAGCGACAGCCGGCTGGAAAAAGCTAATGCCTTACTTGAGACTCGTCAAACCTATAGATTTTATTTTGCACACGCCATGCACAAAGCCGATGGGAAATCGTGTTATAAACGGACAAACAAATTTATTTGAGTAATCCGTAAGGAAAGATGACGACTGCATGACGAGGTAAAACAGCAAACGTTTCTAAACTTCAGAAGTAATATTCGTAAAAGAGTTTATAGACATTATGAATACTTTATAATTTACACATTTGTTCGTGCGACAATGAGACAGTAAACACGGGTCTTAATCATCACATCCCGGTACCTGTAATCTCGCGAAGCCCCCCCCCCCCCTGTACCACACCACGTTACTCTTTTATGGATAATAATAAAAGATCTAGAAATCCTTTTAATCTAATAAATATTAAACCGGCATTCCCTGCTAATACGAAATTGCAGTTACCTAACTTTTTGTCCGCCAATGTGAGGTCTCTTTTCCCAAAGTTAGACGAACTCGATTTATTGTTACAGTATACTGCCGCTGACTTAGTAGCTACTTCTGAAACATGGCTACATGAAGGTATTGATGACACTTTCCTACAAATCCCGAAGTATAACTCTTTCCGACGTGATAGACTATGCGGCAGAGGAGGAGTTTGTGCCTTTGTATCCGAAACTATCCCTTCCAAGCGGCGTGATGACCTCGAAAGCTGTAACTATGAATGTATGTGGGTGTGGATTAGACCTTTTCGCCTCCCAAGATCTATTACTGGAATAATAATTGGAATTGTTTACAACCCTCCTGACAAGTCTACAGGGATGCCGGAAGTTGCTGAGGGCAAGGGGTGCAATTGGTTAACAAGAGGGCATACTCCTTAATAAAAGGCATCAATGAAAATGAAAGGGCGTCATGATCCAACATTCGTGTCAACCTCCCTCCCCGTCACCAAATGTTTTGGGACCGAATACAATTATTTAGGCACAATTTCTCCGTAATTTCTCGCCAAAAATTCCATAAGTAATGCTTTCCGTTTCACCTTTCGCCAAATGGATAACAATTTTGCCGAATTCCTGACGACTGGGGGTGGAACACCCCCACACACATCCTTGAACGACGTTTAATTCTGTCTGTTGTAAAAGTTTTGTGCACCCGTTACACCCATAGTCTGCACCCGCACTGCACCCACAAAGTTGAAAATGCAAAAGGCAAGGGGTGCACTTGCACCCGCTGCACCCGTGGTTCCGGCATCCCTGCAAGTCTATACAAGAGCAACGTGATCTCGTAGCCTACTTAATCGAAACTTTGGACCTTGTTCGAAACACTTATCCAGAATGTGGTATCGTTTTGTTAGGAGATTTTAACAACTTGGATATCTCTGACTTACTTAGTTGTCACGTTTTGTCTCAGGTGGTAACCACTCCTACAAGGGGTTCCGCTATTTTGGATTTAGTAATTTCAAATATTCATTCATTTTACGATATACCAACAACAATTGCCCCCCTTGGCACATCAGACCACAAAATAGTAAAATGGTATCCCAGAATTAGTGCACACGTTAACATACCAACGACTGCCTGTAAACGACAATACTGGTGCTTTCCACAGTCCGCGGGAGAAGCTTTTGGCCAATGGGTGACTCGTCAGGACTGGTATGCAGATGGTCAAAACTTGACAATAGAAGAGCTCGTCAGTGCATTTACCTCAAACATCTCTGAAGCAATGGATAATTTTTTCCGATGAAAACTATCAAATTACATCCTTCTGATAAGCCTTGGATGACGGCACCCCTAAAGAACTTAATTAGGCTACACCAACGGGCATTCCACGGGGGAAACATAAATCTTTGGCACCATTACAGAGACAAAGTTAGATTGGAGATAACAGAAAGAAAACTGAAGTTTTATGCAGATAAAGTCGAACATCTGAAGAAGAGTAATACTAGATCCTGGTGGAAGCTCGTGAAGCAAATATCTGGTCAATCTAATAATATAGTGCCAATATATATCGAAAAGAACGGAGTAACTTTGACCGACGTGCAATTAGCAAACGCCTTAAATGAATTCTATATCGCCGTGAATGCAGATATTCCTCCCCTTGATATGCACGAGTTACCAGCTTTTTTGCCAGCCGTTGAGCAGGTACCGGTGATATATTCTTATCAGGTTTGTAAGAAATTGCAAAAACTCAACCCTCACAAAGCAATGGGTCGTGACAATATTCCACCACGTCTTTTGAAAGAATTTGCTTACGAACTAGCTGAACCAATTTCTGATCTCTTTAACCTCTCTTTATCTTCTGGTATCGTTCCTGATACTTGGAAATGCGCGAACATTACTCCTATCCCTAAAGAAAAACTACCGAAAGAGGAGAGTGATCTATGACCAATCTCTTTAACGCCCTGCATCTCTAAGGTTATGGAGGAATTTGTAGCAGAATGGATTCTTGAAGATATTGCACATAAAATCGATCATAAACAATTCGGCGTTATAAAAGGTACATCTACAACTTTGTGCCTCTTGGATATGTTTCACAATTGGCTGTTAAATTTGGATACGCCCGGCCAGTATTTGCGAATTTGTTTTCTAGATTTTAGCAAGGCCTTCGACCGCATCAACCTTAACATTTTGGTTACCAAGTTGGTCTTTTTAGGAGTACGAAGGTCATTATTGCCTTGGATATGTAGTTTTTTGTCAAATCGCAAACAACGAGTTAAATTGGGTAAATCTTTGTCAGAGAGGGTCACAACGAACGCCGGTGTCCCACAAGGCACTATATTGGGCCCTATTCTGTTTCTCGTCATGATTAACGATCTTGTCCTACCAACATGTAATTATTGGAAATATGTAGATGATCTTACTGCTTCGGAGGTTATAGCCAAATACGGCAGTTCAACAATCCAATCAGATCTTGATTATATATCCCCTTGGTCGTCTGCTAATTACATGAAATTAAACGCGAAGAAATGTAAAGAGCTAAGGGTTTGTTTCTTTCGTGATACGCCTGTTTTGGAACCATTAACTATCGAGGGAATACCAATAGATGTTGTTGATTGCCATAAGGTTCTTGGTACTGTGTTAAATAGCTCGCTAAAATGGACGGATCATGTTAAGGTTACAGAACACCTTTGAGTGTTAATTTTGCCTAAAATTTTTTTATTGGTTTCAATGAAAGCATTAGACTAGTTCTACTATCTGACCAAGTTTGAACGAAAAATGTTGAAAACTCGCAGAGTTATTTAATAAAATACATTTCGCTGCAATAAGAAAAACATTGAAAATGTAATATTCAAATTCAATTTTCTCCCGAAAAATTTTACGGTAATTACTGATTTTCAAACGAGTTGTGCTCCTGCGGGTTTTAACCAATTTTTCTCAAATTTTCACAGGACATAGCTAAATACGTCAGCTTCAAAATTGTGTTCGGCTTTTTTTTAATTTTGGATATTTTAAAAATAAAGAGCAATTTACTCAAACGATTCAGAAATATATTGCAGTCGTCAAAGAAATCGCCATATCAGCGGAATGACGAAATAAACAAAAATTTCCGAACACAATTTTTTAGAACAACTATTTTACTGTATAAAAATGATATTTTCATAAATATAACTTAAAACCAGCAGGAGCATAACTCAAAAGCGTAACGGTACCGCGATTTAAGATTTTCCTGAATAATTCTTACATTATTTTATTGTTTGTTAATTTTACAACTTTACCATATTTTACATGCACTGGAGAACATTTGGTGAAAATTTGATGAAAATCGGACTGATATTGAGCGCGCAGTAGCGATTTTCCGCAAAACGCCAAAAAGGGTGTCCTGTAACCTTAATATGATTACAAAGAAGGCAGCAAAGCGTCTTTACATTATACGTACCTTAAAGAGAAGTGGTATGACTGCCGATGATTTGTTAACAATTTATATTGCACTTATTCGTTCGGTTTTGGAGTACTGTTGCCCAGCCCAGTTTGGCACACTAACCTACCATCTATTCCTATCTCAGCGAGCAAATTGAACGTTTACAGAAGAGAGTTTTGAGAATAATCTTCCCAAGTTTATCATACAGAGAGCAGGGCCTTTTTTAAGGATTTTCACTGGTGGGGGGGGCATTTTTTGAAAAGGGACCTTTCTGTGAGATAATATATTAGAGGGGGATAGCAATGGCTGAAGGCCACGTTTGTGGCCAATATACCACGCATGAATGGGGGTGGGGAGGGGTCTGGGGCGTACTCCCCCAGAACATTTTTGAAATTTGAATGCCGGAAATGTCATTTCCTGCATTCTGAGCATCCAAATTTGCTCCAAAATTTATCCTAACTATACTTGTATTTGAAATAAAAAAAGGAAAAAAACGCACAAAAAGTAAAAAAAAATTAACCATCGGCATTTATCATTACTTATTAGAGGAGGATAGCAATGGTCGCGTGCGTGGGGGTGTACTCCCCGGGAAAATTTTTGAAATTTGAAGCACGGAAATGCCATTTCCTGCATTCTGAGCATCCAAATTTGCTCTAAAATTTATGCTAATAGTTGTATTTGAAATAAAAGAAGGAAAAAATGCACAAAAAGTAAAAAAGAATATTAACCGTAATTTATCATTCCTTATTGGAGGGATAATCCCCAGAAAAATTTTGAAATTTGTAACCCGGAAATGCTATTTCCTGCATTCTGAGCATCCAAAAAATAAAAATATTATTAACAGTAATTTATCATTACTCAGTGGTGGAGAAACGTAACAATTTAAATCTATTTGTTAATCTTTGCTGGTTTGTTTGTATAATTTTAGGAAAAAGGGACTTTTTTTTGGGGGGGGGGATGTGATTTCGTGGGGGGCACAGGGGGGGACTGGGGGGGCATTGTATGTTAAAAAAGGCCCTGACAGAGAGGGCTTTGCCTGCTGCAGATTGTGTACGGCTGGATGATAACAGACAACGTTTGTGCCTTAATCTCTTCCAAAAGATCAATTCAAACGGCGACAATAAACTCAATCCGCTCATACCTAATTCTAGGCTCAGCGAACATGGTCGGCCACTTCGTAACTCTGATAGTCTTTCAATTTCAATGTAGTACGGACCGATTTAAGCGCAGTTTTTTCCCATCGCTAACTCAATATTCTAACAATATCTAGTCAACTATAATAGACGTTTATTACTTGTCTTAATATTTAATGTATGTAAGACAAATAGTATATATACAAATAGTCAATATTCTAACAATATCTATAGTCAACTATAATAGTTCATAACTTGTCTTAAAATTTTAATGTATGTAGGACAAATAGCAGTATACTTAAAGTATCCTATTATGTAAATATAAAGTATTTCACCTTGGTGCAATTTTATATATTTAATTAACCTTTAATAATAATAATAATTTGGTAAGCGAAGAGCCACCCGCATGTGGATATAGTTGCCGATAAATCGTTATTTATTATTATTATATTATTATTATTATTACATGTTTTTCACAGCTTTGTTCTTATGCTGGCTATGTTTTTTCCTTGGAAGCTGGCTACAACCAGTAGCCTCAGGTCCCAAAGATTTTAGCTTTCCAAGCTTCTTCTCAGTATTCTTGCCGTCCCTAACAATGCTGTTTTTTTGTAGAAGTTCTATTCTTATATGTATTCCCAATTTCTCAATCCACTTATCCAGTTTATTACTAACTGCTCCTAAGGCACCTACTATTATTGGAATGACTTCTACTTTTTTCATTGCCCATATTTTCCGAATTTCCTTTTCAACTCCTCATACTTTTCTACCTTCTCTGTTTCTTTTATACCAATTCTACAGTCCCCTGGAACTGCGATGTCTATGATCTTGCATTCCTTTTCCTTCTTTAAAACCACTACAATATCAGGTCTTCGACATTCAATCGCATGATCGCACTGTATGTTAAAATCCCAGAGAATCTTTACATTATCTGATTCAATTACTCCGTTTGGTTGGTGTTCATACCATTTTTCAGCTTTCTCTAGTTGGTACAAACCACATAGCTTCCAGTGTACAATGCGAGCCACATTGTCATGTCTTCGTTTGTATTCTTTTTGTGCTAGCTTCTTGCATTCACTTATCAAGTGTGTTATATGCTCTCCCTTTTCCCCACAAAGTCTACAGAGTGGAGACTCAACAGTTCTATCTATGTGAAACTTTACATAATTTGTCCTTAGAGCTTGCTCTTGTGCAGCACAAAGAAGTGCTTCAGTCTCAGGTTTCAAGTCTCCTTTCTTCAGCCACCACGTCTTCTCCCTATCCACTTCTTTACCTAAATCTCTGTTATATTGTCCATACATTTTCTTGTCAATCCAAGCTTTCTCTAGCTCCTCTACTGCTTTCTTCTTAAAATTTTCTTTTGTTTCGCATCTTTCCGTTTCAATCACACCTGTCTTTGCAACTTGTTGTAAAAGTGGTTCCACACTGTTCTTTACATACCATCCCAAACTGTTCTCCTCTGTACGAATGCATTCTTCACAACTGATCAAACCTCTTCCGCCCTTTTATCTCGGTAAATATAGTCGATGAATGTCACTTCTTGGGTGAAAAGCACCATACAGTGTCATCAGTTTACGTGTTTTGCGATCCATTGCAGCAATTTCATCTTTTGTCCATTTCAAAACACCAGCTCCGTACCTCAGCAGCGGAACAGCCCAAGTATTCATCGCCATGATTTTGTTTCTGCCATTCAGTTTTGATTTCAGCACCAATCTTAATCTCATCCCGTATTCCTTTACAAACTTTCTCTTCATTTCACCCTCCATAATTTTATCTAATTCCAGTATACCAAGATATTTATATCCA